GTAAATATAACTTCGTCGCTTTTCTTTAACGTGTTCGCGAATTCTTCATCAAAAATGCTGGATTTGCAACGATGATGGCCTCGAAATGTGACGAAAATCGGTACAAGATATGCCGGAAAAGCGGCAAGGAAAAAATAAACGTCGCTCAAGCGCGCACCTCTACTCCGTTGGTGGTTTCGCTAGGCTAGAAATTTATTTTCCCACGAAATGTCGCCACAGGAGGCTGGCTGCGCCTCCAGCTACTGAATACGATATTCCATGTCGCGTTATGCACATACGAATATTTCCATACATAAATTTCATAGAGGTGAAAGTAGATGCCTGTCTGCTTGAGTGTTGCCGACGATCATAACGACGCTTGGAAATGTTAACAGAAGACTACTCGGATTACCTATGTATTTTACATGGCGTATTACTCTATTTGTGTAATAATATTTCAGGTAAATATAGATGCGTGTCGGGAGCAGGATCTCCACTTTCATCGTATTATAACAGAAGCACGTCGTGGTATTATTAGTATCGCTATAGTCTTACAAACTAAAAATGTTTTTGTAACGCTTTTTAAATCAGCGCGATTTTATTTTTTTTCCCATTTTTTTTACAAGCTCGGTGCTTAAAAGCGTGAAAAAAAGTTTTAATACGGCAAAAGCCGACAGCGCTGGTCACGTCAGCTCGGTGGCGTAACCTAATTTTCAACGATTAAATGCAACGAGCGCGATAATGCTTGTAAATTGAGCGAATTATGCCACCGGTGCTGGTGCCCAACGTAGCCTCGTCTGATTAACATGCACGTTACGCCGGATAATGCCGTTCGACCCGACATTTGCATTGGTACACGTCGAACGGCCTGAGATTTTAGCACTCGTTTAAACGAATAGAGTAATGTAGAACAGGTAACTGCTCGACATTTACAATAATTATTAATTTGACTCTTAAAATGCAAAATGGATAAGACGATCTCTTTACCTTCAACAAATGTACTATACTATTTTTACTTTCCTTTGTGAAAATAAATGACATCGTCGAAAGATCGTTTTGGAAAGAAATCGAACATTTATTTATTGCGAATGTTGTGCGTAGCGGTTTCCTTTCGTCTGACATTACACGCAGAATCTTTGAAGAAGGAAAGTAGAAGCGGAAACATTTTTTGACATCGACAGATTGTTAGTTCACGTGTTCAAGCAGTCGTTCTGTTACCAATTTCCTGCGCGTTATCGGCTATAGAGACCCCGGCCAGGTGAAATCATGGCTACCTTCTACGACGAGAAAAGAAACCAACTCTCACCTAAGCAATGTAGAAACTTCTGTTCGCGACAGCTACAGCTTTTTCGTTCTTCCGCTTCAACTCTAGTCTTTCTCCCTCTCTCTCCCTCCCTCCCCCCCTCTCTCTCTCTTCAGCTAGCACTATAGTCAGGATTTACCATCCGTGTGCGACGTTTTCACTGTTGCGTATCGAATGCAGAGAGCCGGCAGCATCGCATCCAACCCCTTCGTTTTGGCCCATGAGTGCGAATCCTCGAAATGCGTGGGACGGGAAAGGACAGGGGTTGGGGAGGCAGTGGAAGCGGGTTGAGAAGCACCGATTCGAGAAGACGAGAGAGGGACGGTGGCTCGGATCGTAGAGGTCGGACACCACGTAAATTGCATACCCGATTGCGGTCTACTGAAGAGTAGCGCCCACCACCCCAGCCTCCTCCCAAAGTCCCCTGTCCCTCTTCAGCCCCGATGCCCCGCGACCCCAAACTGGATCTAACAAGCCAGCGACCGCAGGCTAGGTTCGGCCTGCAACAGGGTTGCCACCTCTGGGGACCGCCGGCGGCTACAGCCGGTGAACTGTCCCTTGTGTCCCGACTACAAACCCTCGGTGAAAATCTTCATGCCATCTTCCGCCCACTCGTCCTAACAAGCCCGCTTATGTCCACTCGTAAACCGCCATGATGCACGCAAGAAACGTCGCGTTTTTTTTCATGATGTTCAGTGCCAACTTCTGAATTGGAGATCGATAAAGGATAACAAGCTCAAGTCGAGAGAGAATTTCGTATCTGAATTACGAATCAATTATTAATGTTAATAGAGCGCTGTGGCGATTGTAATTACGTGTCTGTCGCGACGATATAATTATGGCAAGTTTTTGTTACAAGAATATAACCGTGTCCCGTAATGATGTCACTGCATTAGACAGAACGCAATGCCACCCGCTGATTTGAAGAATACGACCAGCTTGACTCGCTATAAGGATTTCTTACAGACGTGGAATAATAGACATTCGTCACATAATAGGCTTTGCACGTCGTGCACAAATGATGTCCTCAAGTTACAAAGTTAAATAAACTCGAGCAATTATCGAAAACGATTAAATATTGCGAATAAGTTTTTGTTGATCTCAATTAGGAAATCTCTTATTTTCGCTTATCACTGTCAAAATTGTCAATCGAATTCTCTTTGATTGTTTTTGTGTTTCTCTTCATATTTTATGTGTTACGAAGTATTAAATATTTAGAAAATGTTTTTAAAAGCATTTAAATTAAAAATCCGCATACTGTCTATCCGCTTATATTCGCTTATAAATATTTTTAAGTATTCGAAAAAACAAACTTCGCACTTTTAGAACTTTCGGAAATTTTCCGCGACTCGATTCGTTAATATGCATTCTATCGCGACATATCAGGTGAGAATGGCCAAGTGGTATTGCGAACTTTAAACGACACCGTTAATGCAAAGCGGTAGGCTTCTCTCAATGATTTTTTGAATAGCTCTTGGAACGTTAGAACGGATGTTATAGCCGCAACTTCGGTATGCAATAGAAAAGGAAGTGAAAGCCTGAATAAAGCATGGCACCATTTCGCGAAAGCCGTCGCAAACTTTTGATGGGAACGTTTAGAAAACTTTCTACGATTGTACGGTCCGGATCTATTCGGAGAGGATTTCATTGACTAAAACCAATAATACAAAGTCAAACACTAATGTGTCTAATGAAAATAAATTCAGACGAATATCAACATTCATCGCATCAGTACTAGGACGCAGCGAACGAACTCCGAGCAGTATTTTCTTCCCGTGGATAAATCCGATTCGTCCTAAGCTCAGCCGTGGCAATCGCAAACATCTATCCAGATGAAACACTAGTAACCGACGTGGGATAGTCATCTACTGCGGTACTTTGCGCGCGGGTTGACTGTGAGTTTCGGATATCGAAGAAGGAGACACTGAAGATGGAAGCCGGAGAGAAAGAGGAAGAGGAAGAGAAAGAGAAGGAGGAGGTGAGAGTTTGTGCTTGGAGGTAAGAGGCTGAAGAGCCCATCTGGCTTCCAATCAGAGCGTTGCCACCAGCACATGTGTTCACGGCACGTTGGAGGTGGCGGCTCAATCAACGAGGGTGCATCCCTCTCCGACCTCCTTCGTCACCCCTCACTCTGGCAACTTTATATCACATAATCGAGTCTTGAAGCCGCCGCTCCATACCTCGTTTACCCCTACCCTTCGACTCGTCTCTCCTTGCCGTCCCCCATCGTTCTTTCTCCATTTCTTTCGACAGGGCCCCATCCTTTCGTCCTTCAGCCCAACTCTCGGCTCTTCGGCTCTCTCTACCCTCGCTCTCTCTTCCCATCTTTGCGTTTAGCTTTCATCCCTCTTTCCTTCCGTCGGTCCTTCGCCTTCGCCGCCCTTCGCCGGGCCTTGGATCCATCTTCGGAGCGACTCTAACGCGCATCAACGACGGTACCTAACGGCGCTAACGGTGGGATAAGTAATTGCACGCGTCGCGCGGGGAAAATGCATCGCCGGTTACGAGAGAAACGGCGTGGTAACGGTGAAAAGTAATCACCTGCCGAGGAGGCCCTGGTACAGCTACCTGTGTTGGCAGAAAACACGACGGGGAGTCGGAGTAACTACTATCGACCGGAAGGATCCAGACGGCGATTAGCTCCTTGAACGAGTTACGGCGCGGACTATAAATTGTAATACAGAGAATCTACGCGTGCAATGTTACGTAATTATTGCACCCGCCTGGCATACCTGTTTACATCCTCTTTCATTTCTTTCGTGCTTTCGTTTTCAACTTGTATAGAACTAACGGATTCTTATTAACGAAACGAGATATTAGAAGTAGAACATACGAAAAATAATAGTTTATCATATATTTTTTTTCTAATCTTAATAGATCTAAAATATAAAAAGTCTTTTGTCAGTAAAGATATTTCTGCGATTCTATTTCTTACAGAAGTAACTAATGGTATAAAGAAAATCTAATTACACGTACTCTTTTAAAGTAAACAGGCGCGAAGCAAGTTACTGATTTATATGACTTGTTTCGAGAGTTACGGAGTTAATCTAAAAGTTACTACTTCTCTAATGTTAGATTCAGAAAATAGAAAGGTATTCTCATTTAAAACGTTTAAACACATGCAATTTGTGTAATCTATGCAAAATACCATATATGTAAAATGTAAATTTTTTTGTAATATTTTTTATAAAAACCCGTATGCGATGT